AAAAAAAAAAAAAAAAAAAAGAAAAGAAAATAGAGAAACTTTATAATACAATGGACTGTAAAAATTATTTCAATCTTTAAAAATTTTATACGCTGTTCCATATCCATAAAACATGTAACAGAAATTATAAATCGGTCATTTTGAGCACTTTGGTAGTTCCAGTGTTAAGGGCAAGTTGTCCGCCGGTCGATTTTCCTTGGTTTTTGAACGCCGAGTAAAATAGTTAAAAGAAGAAATTGGTCATTTATATACCTGGTTCATTCATGTAAGTGAAGAACTTTTGCTCGCAAGTCTCAGGTTATAATATATTAGATTACAACACATTATTCTTGGATTGAAGAAAATTGGAAAAGAGGCTAGATCGTCAAGTTCGTTCGAACCGATAATTCATACGCAACGAACGCGATGGTCAATGAAAATAGAGAATGAAATTTCGTCAAATTTGGGAGAAATGAATTAATCGAGACATCTGATTCGAATTTAATTGAAGTTTGAAACAAAAACTAATAAGAAAATATCACAAGGTTTCCAAGCATAGTGCAACATTGTTCTCTGGTCTGTCAAACGGCCATCGAGGTAGAGAACAGGTTATTAGCTTTTTTCGGCGAATCTTTCGGGGCCGGTGAGCGTTAGTCGTGCGGTTTCGGGGGATCAAGGAATCCCCCGGCCTGAATCCATTACACCAACCTGGGGCCGTGTGATCTCTTTGGCTTCTCCGGTCGAGCGAGGACGAGAGTCGCCAGATTTGCGGCCAGGGACGAGCCTACGGGGGCTTTCCAGTCTCCGTTCTGCCGAGCAGATTGCACAAACCTCGACGGGTGTTTATACGTCGTTGGAAAATTTAGTAAATGTCCGGCTGACTGTAATTTCGTGCCGTTTAATGGACGTTGAAATGAGGGGCGAACCTCTGATCTTCAAGCCGATTTTCGATGTTGTCTTCTTTCGGTACGATCGAGTGCCATTAGGGACATCGTTGATCACTTTGAAAGATGCCGGGTGTAAGAAGAGTTCCACACTCGCGAAAATATTCGAACAATTAGAAGAAACTTTTTATGAGTACATTGCGTGTGTTATGAAATATTCTGAAATTTAACGCAACTATCAAATCAAGCGTTAGTCAAATTTGAAATTAGTAGAAAGAATATATATGTGAAAGTTACGTTATATAAAAGTTATAGTAAAGATTTTCCTATTAAAGATTATAACGAATAAAGTGTTTCAGATATTTGATA